GGGGCCAGTGGTGGACACGGCACGTGACCGAGGAGGGGGTCAGTGGTTACCGAGGCCGCCAGATGGCTTAGCGGTTGAACGAGCGGTTCGCAAGCGGAAGGTTGCGAGTTCAATATCCTGGTTGGGCAGTTTGACTCGGCCCATCGTCGTCGTCATTCCTCGGAGTCGAAGAAATCAGGAACCACGTGTCCGTCAAGAGTGGTCGTCCCTGCCATAGGAATGGGAAATTCCAACGACTGCCTCTGCAGCGCTGCAAACAGGAGATGAGCATCACCGCACCGCTCACTGTAGCCACGGGAAATGACTTTCACTGTTGACTCTTTCACGAACAACAACTCCTAACAAGGGTTACACGACAGATAATAGGAAGGCAAAACTGTTGTCTTTGTCCTGCTGTATTATGTTGGACAGGGCACCACGCCAGCTCCGCCTGGTCCACAAGCCCCTTTTTTACCACCTTCCAGCGACGACACGGACGCCTGCGTGCCGCCGCCGCCGCCACGGCGATGCCCATGGGCACGCAGCCCGCGAGGTGTCTCCGACACGCTGCAGGCAGCCGGCCTCTCGCGCTCCCAGCACGAGCGGCGCAGTCGCCGACGTTTCTGAGCCGTGGCTGGCGAGCGGGAGCAGCTCGAAGAGGCGACATTTGCCTCAAAAGCCGCGCGACGTCGCGTGGACGTTTCTCATTCCATTCGCTAACGGGCGCAGCAGCAGCGGAGCGGGCCGCACGTCACGTGCTGGCACGGAAAGCTGCAACACGCTCGGGGTTATTTGCGTTTGCAAAAGGAGCGCTGTTCAACGCACGGCGTTAGCCCTGCGCTCGTTGTGAATGACACGCAGCCACTGCGCGGAGCCCCGATGTTCACGCACCGTCAAACAAATAGCCGTCGCTCAAACGTCAACGCTCTCATTTATGGAATGCACTTTTGTGCAACCCATGCTGTTCATTCTACCGGTCCCCGAGGGACCACAATCCTCTGGCGTGGAACCGCTGCGTACAAATTAAAATTTGATCCCCGAGTAAATTAAGTGCAGGTTATTGGTGCATGTGTTGCCTCGGGGATATCTGACACAGCCTCCCCGAAGCTGGGAGACGCGTCGGGCCACATATGGTTCCAGTTTCAAGTCGCCATGTAGGTGGTGGTCCTTTCGGGCAACATCGATTTGGGGCGAGCGTAATCGAGGGCCCGCTGCTTGCGTAACACAAACCGCAGTGTGTCGTGGCGTGTCGTGGCGTGCGAGCAGATTGATGAACAAGACTAGCAATAGGCAAACCCTGAAGATCGCATTCGCAAAGCAGTTAGTTATCAAGGGAAGCCTCAGAAGCCGCTCGTCAACAAGGTCCTTGCTCCAAACGTTTGGCCAATTCCACAACAAATGTTTTTGCATGTGGGAGTCATCTGCCCAGCAGAGAAAAGTGGAATGTCCTGGCTCCGGTTCGTGACGTTTATGACAATCCCGGGTTGACCCACTCACTATTCGCCGTGTGGACTCAATCCCCCCCCCCCCCCCCCAGTGCCGATGGTCTCAGTGGCACGGCCTGCGTCCCGTGCGGTGACGGCGGGGGGTGAACGTGGCCTGGCCCAGGGGGACTCGCTGGCGGGGGGGGGGTTATTGACGCGTTCTCGCTTCTCGAGACTCGGATCCGGGTGTCACCAGCGCCCCGCGGGTCCCTGGCACGTGGCAGATTTAATGGCCAACCATTGGCATTCCATTATTTTAATATTATTTAACGTAGGCCAAAGCAGCTCCACGCTTACACAAGCAGAGGGCACCTCCTGTGGTGATGGCCTCCAGCCAGTGGTGTATTCCACATGCCTACGGCAAGGGCCAAGGGAATGGCGAGTGGAAGATGGCAGCCTTTGTGGGGAGCGGTGGTGTAGCGGTTAGCGCGCTGCGGGACGAACCTGGTGGCCCGGGTTTGATTCCCGCTCATGGCCAACACCAGTGACGATTATCTGAAGCGGTCGGGCTTCCCTTAGGTCGACTCAGCCTCAAATGCATACCTGGTGCGGTGTGTAAACATCGCCACTAGGGGACAAAAGCGGCCGGGCGTGGTGTTGGCCACCCACCCCCTCGTGTGCCGTGCCAGCCTTCATAGGTGCTCGCTAACAGCACTTGCCCCGACAGTCTGTTAAGACTATGAAGGGGATCTGTCTCTTTATCCATTCTATAAATTCATTCTGTCTGAGTTTTAGAGTCTAAATGTTTGCATGTACAGTATATGTGTAAATACCCATTTTCTATGTATGAGACGGTCCCATCTCAAGAGATTTTCCACGTGAATATGTTTCCATTGTCAATCAAGCGCAACACCTCCCCCCGTCGCGACGTGGACGTTGGGCGGCTTCCCGGGAGCGCACGGGCTCCACGAGTCGCTCCTGCGTCGGCGCGCCGACTCCCACGGGCCCCTCTCGCTCCCAGGTCGCTCCCAGGAGCTGTCAGACTCACAGTGGCGTTGCTCCAAAACAACCGCCCCCCCCCCCCCAACTCTTTGTTGATCATTCAGATCGGAGGTCTGGAGCGCTCGCTATCCCACGGACATGTGTACACAATCGTTTACACAATCGTGTACGCAATCTTCGACACAATCCGCCCCCAACCAGGGGAAATAGCTCTGTCCGAACGGCACGCCTCAGGAATGCATGTCTGCTGGCGATGGGAACGGTCGGTTCCGTGATTCTCCCCAAGACAAAAATTGAAAACACATTTACTTGGGGCGATATTGGACATTTTGGTACAGCACAGGTGTTGCCAAGTGGAGCGCAGTGGTGGTTAGCCAGCGGCCCGAGTTCGAGCCACGGCTTAACGTGAGCGGCAAGGGACATCCGCACCGCTCCGGGACGATGCTCCCCTCCCTCCACCAATGAGTGTCGTGGAGAAGCATGGTGAAACTACACCCATCATGGACACGGCCTTCGCAGCTGATTACATCATCATTATTACGAGAGGCATTTTCAAATTGCGTACAGTTACAATACGTCACGTAATGTTTTTTTACCACGCTATTCTATCGCACGCATCGATACTGTACGTGTGATTTCGTATCAGTCTTGATATTGAGTCCAAATACTATTGCGCTGTCCTACGGGATCGTGGGATTTCCGCGACTGGCTCAGAGCCACCAGCGGAGGTGAAGACCTCTGCATTTGTGCTTGGAGCAGAGAGGCAATTTGAGTTGTCAGTGACTCTCAGGATGTTTGTGCTTCAGCGCAGCCACACGCCTTTATTTAGCTTGGAGGCCATGTGACAGAAGCCTGCTTTGTGGATTGTCAGGGCAGTCGCTTAAAACCCACTGTCGTACTGTACTTCTATGCCCCCCACCCCACGTCCATGTCAGCCTGCACTGACCAGCGCGATGGAGCTTGGCTAAATAACTCCCCCGATGCGTACGCCATGGGCAGCCTACATCCAGCAGTGGACTGACAAAAGCGCTAAAACTTGCACGAACGTCAGCGAGTGAAGTATTCCGTGAATGAAAGTCATATCATAAATTAATTTTACTACAACCATATTGACTACACGAATGAACAAAGGTGATCTTTTTTCCTCCACGTACATTCAAGTTCGCACCACAAAACGTACCCTATGGATGGCGTCTCGCCAGTCCATAGCAGGGTGGAGTGGCTGGCTTGTAATTGGAGACGATTGTCTGAGCAGCACGCAGAGTCACTGGAAACCAAATCAGAGTGCGAATCACCGTCCCTTCCAATACGGCACCCAGCACTTTCGACGCGCGCCCGTCACCCAAACGGGAACCGAAGGCGCCACGGCACAACTCGGAAATACACAGGAAGACAGCGGCCGGCATTTGCCACTCAGCAACCGTGGCGGGAGCACGGCGCCAATGCCTGTGCCAGGCCGGGTGCACTTCGAGGCCACGTGAAGTGTTGGAAGGCTCGCTGAGTGGAGGAGATCACGGGACAGACCCCGGTGCCATGGGTTCACCGACTCAGGGGAGCGCTGTGCCAGCCACCAGCAGGAACGCCGTGCGCTGTCCATTCAAATATCGCACGAGCAAATGCCGTTTAAATAAACACGCAGGTTTTGTTCAGTGAACATCATCATGATGATTTACGACCGATTTTTTTTTGGGTTAGACCACATAATGAGCTGGCCAGGTTTGTATACGACGACCCTCCACCACCCTACACAGGCAAACAAATGAAAGTGGCACGTTTACAAGCGTTTAACTGGCCACTTGTTATTATTGGACTTCCTGGATTTTATTCCGACTTCCTCGTGCTTGTCCCCCAAAGATGCTCGATGCTGTCACAGCTGACGGACTCTGGACAGCAAACACACGAGGGTAACCCACGGCCCTTGCAACGTCTGGCATCATCGCTTACAAAGGAATCCTCAAACTATTATTTACAGCTTGATTCAATTATTTTGCAATCAACTGCACGATCTGTTGTAAACATTACGATCGCTTCTCAACTGCACAAAAACGAAGGAACAATAAAGTGATGGAGGAATGTTACATCTCTTCACGGCATCACGGAAAAGCGGCTCTCTCATCCACTGCGTGGCCACGGGTGGCCAGGGGTGGCCAGGGGTGTCAGGCTTCTCTGGCCAGTGGCGCTGTGGGAGGAGCAGCGCCGGACGCGGCGACGTGAGAGTTAAAGAGTGCACGTCTCGGTTGGAAGTCTTTTATCCTTCCACGATCAATAACATGAGTCACACTTTGTGGACGGTCAATAGTGGTTTGTCCTATAGCACGACTGACGTCCACCGTAGCAACGTGGAATCCCCACTGCTGGCTCAGGGTTGCCAATGGTTTACGAGTGTTGCCCAACGTGTGTTTGAACAAGCAGCTGCTTTCAACTTTTATGACTTTCTTCTGAAGTCACTCTCACGGTATATTTAAAATGACATCAAGCATTCGGGGATTAAACCATTGCACGGAAGAGCACGTCTGTATGTGATAGCACTAAGTAACCCAAATAAGAGTAACATGTGGACTATACTAAAGCCTGCGGGTTCACAACCGTGCCCACCTACTGCTGCCTTCATCACAGGGCTCAGTCCACCTCTGTGCTTGAGAGCATTCGTGATTCCTGCTCACATCAGGGCTGGATAAAGCCCACTCGAGCAACTCTGCAATGGCAAAAGAAAACAATCAGTAAGGTTTTAACAAAACAGAGTGCTCCGGGAGCCTCGTAAATGTTTGTATGTTCAACCTTCAGTGCTTCCCAAGTCAAAGTGCGTCCCTGCTAACAACCCAAGCTGTCGTCTCCTCCGTGATGCTGTGACGGGGCCTAGGGCCCCCCCCCCCTCCCGTAGAACCATTGCGGCCAAAGCGGTACTCATTTTATCGACGCAGGGGAGGATAATAATTGTTTATTAATTTTACTATTATTTATTCCGCTTGTTTATCCAGGAAAGCCATACCAAGTCTAAAAAGAGACTCTTTTGTCAGAGCGTCCTACTCATTTGGGATGTTTGGCCAACACGAAAGTCATCGTGCGTATTTAGCTCCGGGAGGAAATCGGAGAGCCCGCAGGGAACCCGTGCAGAACAGGCGGAGAACATCCACACCCCACACAGAGAGTTGCCAAATAGGAAGACTTTAACGTCTTTAATTCACAAAAAGGACTCTGTTTTGATATTAAAGCCGTACAGCACAGCGGATAGCAGGCTACAGGGGCACAGGAAATTGAACATGCACAAACTGCACCTGAGCTATTCGCAGCTCTGCGTGGCATTTATCGAGCGTGCGGTGTTCGGTACGGATGAGCGGATCCACAATGCCGCTTACAACAGCACTGCGGGGAACGAAACGAATGTCCCGGCTTGCATCAGAGCTCAGAGCCAGCAACAAGCGGGGTCCTGCGTTTGAAAAAAGCGAGCTTCAGCAATCGCAATCGCACCGAGTGGCTTGCTGCACGCACGCACGTTGAACTTCTCCCGCACCGTGCGTAGCCAACCGTGCTCATCGGCGTCGATGGTCTCAGGCCCCCCGTTCTCGAGGAGACCACAAGTATTTTGGAATGTCGTCAAATGTTGGATATGCGATAGCTGGTGCCTTTATTCACGTACTCAGAGGCAGGAAAGGCTGAACTTGTCTTTGATCAATTTCCCCCCACACCCACTAGCAACCTATCACATGACCACCAAATAAAATAATAAGCTATGACAATGAATCAGTCCGCCGTGACATTAGTCATTTTAAAGATGCTAATACACAACGATGCCTTGTACGTGTAAATGTCTTTAACAACGTAGAGAGCTACAAGCAGCACATCGCCGCGTTGTGGGTACACCCCGTGACCGCAGCACAGATGTCGGTATCCTCTCAAGCACCTCCCCGGGGGTGGCCACGTGGGCCGCAGTTGAGCGAAGCGCAACATTTCACAAGGGGACGACGTCGCGCCAACTCGGCCGTGACGCTCGAACCCCCGGCGCAGCGTTCCCCGTGCACAAAGGAACGCCGATGTGAAGGCGTGCGCATCGATCCCCAACGGTTAATGCAAATCCACCTTCACGTTGCACGCTGCCTGCTGCCATTGCGCGACACGCAGGCATGGCTACACGCGGGCAAAGACGCACTTTCTCCGTTTACCAAGTCGACCGTAGCGATACGGTCACAGTTGGCGAGCACGAACCTTCCAAACAGGTTCAGTGAAAGCATCGGGAATGCCCAGTGGAGCACCCTCGGCTTTGCAAGTTGAGTGGAAGCTGCTTCGTGCATCGCAGCCCAACTGCCTGGTCCCAACTCACACCTCTGCATCTCTGCGGCAGATGTGTTGGGACAATCACAGTGGCAATCCCTGCGCCAGATTGCTATAATTTATTGCTGTAATTCATCACAGAAATCAAGCTGCTTCTATTTGCAGCAGAGCAGCTCAGCCTCTGAACGGCTATTACCGGTGATATTGATTTTTCACCATTCCGGTTATTTGATTTGCCACATCCATAAATGTCAATTGCCTGTCAGAACTAAATACTTGTCAGGTCTCAGACACCCATAAATGGTCCAATCATTGTGTAGAAAAGAGGAGACTAAATGACCAATTTATCGCAAAAAGTACGCCTTGTAAAGGCTTCTGTTGTTTCCCAAAAGCAAAGTTCTGCAGCTGCCAATGAAATGGCAATGATCAAAAGCCATCTTGAGATGTTACGATATGAAGTGCTCGATTCTGTACAGCTGATGTTGCTGCAAGAGATGCATTGCTGAACACCACGTGGTGGAGTAAAGTGTGGTGGAGTAAAGTGTGGCGTAGTGGTTAGCTCATTGCGCTATGAACATTGCCACCTAAGTTCAATTCCCAGGCACAGTTAACATTGGTCAGCCACTGCTACGGAGAGAGAACAGTGAACTACAAATCGTGTCCACCATCCGAAACATTCATAGATCCGTTTTGCTATCCTATCACCACTGACCATCTCTGATGTAAGATATCCCAGACCAAAATAAATAAAGGTTATCTATTATGGGATCAGAGCTTCCTGATGTATTTTTTCTCACAGGAAAGAAACGCTATAAAACTGTCCTGCACTGTGGTGCGCTCCATGCCTTATCAGGCTCATCTCTAACCATCTGCACATCTCTTCCATTAGACTTCCTGACAGACGCGTATATTGGGAAGCTACAGCTACACTCAACCGCATAGGGAATTTGCCGACAGTTGCTGTTCCGAGGTTTGGGTGAGGTCGAACAACACAGCAGTACTTTACCATCCAATAGACATTAGAGGGGGATGTCTTCGATTTGAATGAACGTCTGTTAATATTTGAAGGCTGTGCAACGAGCATGTTTGTCAAGCACACACGACGCCTCAGCATCAATCAATATAATCCACAAGGCGTTATGAACCTATATTGAGTTGGGTGGTCATCACAATTACTAGTCTATGATCACAATTCTCGTAATCGAGCATTATTCAAAACGGGATCCGAATCGTGGAGTCTTGGGAGGGCCCGTGGGGAATGGCTGGCCTCATGGGATTACTTAGGAAACATGGCCGATGATTCTGCAAAGCGAACATTTCAAAGGCGTGTCTGGTCGAGACAACTGCAACTGCCGGTATTGCCGATGCCTCGTGTGCAGAAGAAGTGGCCTGACTCCAGGCACCATGGGCCCGGATGGCCTAGTCGAGGCTTATGCTATACAATACGTGGAACAAATGGGTGTATGACCTCGCACATACACAGGGCAGCCGGCTTCTAAGCCCAACAAGAGCTCCAAACAAGGCCCCGTGGCCATCCCGAGGCCACTCGTTGGACAACCAGAACAGAACGAATGCAGGGCATACCAATGCCACTTAAAACTAACATTTGGAGCACTGGAACCACCAGGTCCGCCACCGGGACCTCTGGTTTAATACCACGAGGCCACTGGGTCAAATACGACTCAGACCGTCGAAACCACCAGGACTTCACCTGGACCACAGGAATTATCAACAGGACCACCAGGACTAACACCAAGTCTGCTGGGACTATCATATAACTGGATACTCACTCACATCTATACACACACACACTCCCTTATTCATGTACACTATAAAGACAAAGACCCCATGTATAGCCTTTACACACTGTTGGGAAAGTGCTGTTAGTGAGCACATATGAAGGGGTTTGGTGGCCAACACCACATCCAGCTGGCATCATCACCCCGGTGTTGATGTAAACACACCGCACCAGGTACTAATTTAAGGCTGAGTAGACCTAGGGAAGTCCCATGATCGGTATATATAACTGCCACTGTTATTGGTCATGAGCAGGACTGGAACATGTCGCCAGGTTTTTGGCACAGTGCACTAACCACTGCACTACCACTCCCCACTCGATTAAATATATTTATATACAAATACACGTACAAAGATCCTACATATAGCCTTTAGCTACCTGTTGGGCAAGTGCCGTTAGCGAGCACCTATATACACCCACGTATACACGCACACATATGCACAGATGCTCCACTCGTGCGTGTAGATTTGAACGCGTGAATCGCTACGGAAGGATCACAATTCCACCAGGAGTTGCCCAGAGTGAGATCGTAGGATGGGACCACGATACCTGCGCGCATCGCCCAGTGCCACAATCTACAAACCACGACTCGTGGTGGGGGCTGGGGTCAGGATGTCAGATCCTAGGCTGCCTCGCGTTGGTGAGAAGTGATGGCAGAGATAAGGAGAACATGAAGCCCCATTGCCACTCTTATCGGGAGCGGGGTGCTCAGCTGCATTAGCAATGCCATGCAATGGACTCCTATTTGATGCGGAGTGGTGGCAGAGTGGTTAACACACTGCGCTTCGAATTCGGCAACCCAAGTCCCTGGCCTCCCCTACGTCGACTCAACCTTTTTGCGGTGTGTAAAGCATCAGCACTGGGGGGCCAAAGGTGGCCGGGCGTGGTGTTGGCCACCCACCTCCTCGTGTGCCGTGCTGGCTTCCATAGGTGCAACTCGCTAACAGCACTTGCCCCAACAGTCTGTTAAAGGCTATGTCGGGGATCTTTGTTTTATTTCATAAAGGTTCTTTCCATTTTGTCTTATGCCACATTCACTAACAAAAGTCTCAACCTGGATTGATTGCAACGGTATTTTTACGGAGTGGCAAAAGGTCTCAAATTTCATCATGGAACCCCCATTGCCAGTATCAAAATATAAGAATAGGTTTTACCCTTTCTGGCAAAACCTATTCTTATATTTTGGTTACGGCAAAGGAGGCCTCATGATGTAGATGCTCACCCCGAGCTCTCAATGTCCTAACAGTGGCGTTGTCTTTGTACTGTTCGCCTTTTGGCATCCTCTGGTCTAACGCTGTTTGAGACGAGGCTCTAAAGAAAGCCGTCTCTGGTGTGGACCAATCAGTTTCAAGGACAATGCATATACTACCAGAGCATGTTTTATGATTGCATGTTCACCACCAGTATATGTGGTTAATGCAGACTGATTCCTTGATAAAGGTTTCTGTTTGGTGTTTTAACATCTTAACACAGCTGACATGGTCCTAAATGTGTTGCCTCTGAACACTTCTATGTGCACAGATGACGACTTTCTTGAACCAAACTAAATCAACGCTCTTTATTTTTGCCTTCAAAACAAACAAACAAACCCTGTTAAAATGTACCAAAAAGTCAAAGCATGAGTGAGT